AGCTAGCAACAACTTCCAACAAAGTGGTGCTCATGTTATGAACTGTAGGGGAAAGATAGGCCGGAGTCAACCCCAGCCAGGAATGTGAGCTCATAACCTTGTGTGGTGTGCATACATTTGAGTGCAGATGCTCACTAATCACACACTGTATTATCACACGATGTTACCCTTGATCGTGGTGGGGACGATGTAGAGCTCCACTTCGTGGTCAACACCGGTCTCATCAGCACCAAACCTCTTGATTAAAACCGACCGTTTCCCTGAAGAAAAAACACAACAAACGTGACAAATGCAAACATACAGCGGCATTCAATTTCAAACACCACCAGATGAATCGTTGTTATTGTTTTATGCGCTTCTGTTGAATGACAAGAAAACCCACCTCTCAAACCTTGGTTAATGGGTGACATTTGTTTGGTCATTTCAAAGACGTATTCCAGTATGGTTCTCCCAGCCTCTCCGTCACCAGGGAAAGTTGTACCGAGCAAAACTTTCCTCCTTTTCTTCTCTTGCGCATCCGTCTGAATCTCCTTCTCACACAGCAAAATCTAACAGCAAGACCAGAGGCGGCATGGAATTGGGAGCGTAACTCATTTTTCTCAATTATAAATTCACTATCCTCTATTTGAGCTGATGAGAGCCCACTGAGCTGATGAGAGCCCACTATAGGCAAGAAAGGCCTCATTACCTCATAGCAGGACAGTTATGTTAATATTTTAGTCAGGAAAAATGTAAAATTGGCATTTGGTTGCTGGCTGATTCTCATCACTGTACCTATCCAGCTGAGTGGCACTCTGCATGAAAACCTGGCTTACAGGTAGAAGGTTGAGTATAAACCAGGGTTCAAGGTCAATGAGTACCAATTTGTTTATGCTAACTGTGGTTGTCTTATGAATCGACACAACGGGGAGTTCATTATATCAATTTAACAACTACAATGGCCCGCTGAATCAACCTCCACGATTTGTACCCGGAGACTTTACGACTGTGCATCAAGTGTTCAGTGACAGCGCCACCCAGCTGCATTTGCTTTTAGCACCGAGAGAGGCACCGGGAGAGACGGGGGGGTTCTACCTCGTAGCTCTTAGGGTGGTACTCCATGGAGGCCGGGCTCGTGATCTTCTTGGGCCGGATGACGGCCGCGTAGAGACGCTCTGCTTCATCGCAGCCAGCCATGGCCGCCCGCCCACAACCCGCGTCTCTATCCGGACACCCAACGAGTCACAGACAGCTGTCAGCACGGCATGGTCATTCACAGCAAAGGACAATGGGATTCACTGTACCGCATTTACTTATGACTGCACCTAAATAAATACGCGTGTGACTGTATCTCAATACAAGTTAGGCACTCACATGTTGCTCACTCAAGATACAGGAGGAGTTATATTAGGTAATTTTCAGTGGGAAGAGTCTGATGGGCATTGAGAAAAATGCCAAGGAGGATACAGATAGTCCATCACTGGGAAGAAGAGATAAAAAAGGTCTTACATCTGTGCCTGAACAAGAGAGTTCCATACAACAGAGGCAGGAGAAATGGAAGGAACAAAGGCTTATCTTAACCATGACCGCTTATGCTCAATATTACAGATCATAGTACGCATATACTGTACAATAGAACCCATCTAAACCATGAATAATATGATTAACAAGAATATAATTACGTTCTCTGTGGTGAATGATTAGTTTGTCCATGTTTACTATCTGGATATCTGATCAAAGTAGTCATAGATAAGTGGAGTTTTAACTGTTGTAGTTGTACGAAACAGATAAAGTTTCGTGTAAGATTTCAGAAGGTTTGGTGCGTGTATGACATTAAAGACTCACAAAATCTTCTGGGTTCTTTCGGTAAAATCACGTAGAATGGGAATAAAATAATAAAAATAATAACAGAATAAAATTCTCACATAATTCTCACAGAATTGTATTCTGTTATTATTATTTTTATAATTTTATTCCCATTCTACGTGACTTTACCGAAAGAACCCCTTCAGATGAATCCCTGCAGTCACGAAAGCTTTAAATCGAGACTCACAAAATGTCCCTGAGAAGGTCGGCATTGTTCGTGTTTCGTTGATCGTTTTCTGGAGAGCGATAACAGCAGAGGGAGGTTACAACTTAAACACAATACAAGCCAGGATCCATACTGTTCTGCTGTACTTTCTGCACAAAACGAGTCACTGGACAATGGAGAACAACACACGTGCAACGCTCCCTGGGATGCCTGCTCACACAGCCGATGGGAAATCATGGGCAGGGCCGCAGCAACAACGCTCACAGGAAGCGGAGTTGTTTTTCATTTCATCTCTGGAGCCTCAGCTTTCCAGTGTTGCCCCCGATACAGCCTGCAGCCCAGGCTGCTTGCTGTCACATCACGTTACGTGTATGCATACGGAGCGACGTTCACAAAAGCGATTGTCCAGGATCAAAGGCACCGCTAGGCAGGTAGTAGAAGTTGTGGCTTGGATCTCCAACACACAACCGGTGTGGCTGTACTGGTGACGAATTGGCCACGTTCTGTTTACGTGACAGCCCTTGCTAGTTGGCTGTGTCGGGTGGTGGCGGGTTTAACGACACATTTATATGTTTACGCGACCTAACTAAAAAGCGCAATTAGTATATACGTGTATTCTTGGTTCTTTCGGTAAAGTCACGTAGAAGGGAAACAATAAAATAATTTAAAAATATATATTATTTTATTGTTTCCCTTCTACGTGGTGACTTTACCGAAAGAACCAAGAATATGAATCCCTGCAGTCACGAAAGCTATAAATCAAAATTTAGTACAGATTTATTTTGTTTTACCAGTTGAGAGACCAGGGTGAGTTTTATTTGTTGGAAACTTCCACCACCCGCACCTCCACGAGCACGGTCAGCAACGTACGGTGCGAAAGAAGTTCAACATACAGTAGGCGAAAGCCTACGTGTTCAACATACAGCACATACATACACCTGCAAGCGTTTACCTGGGCCATTAGTTTGCTAGTAGGTGGGCAATGATCAGCATGTATACAGTAGTGCCAAAATTAGTCATTTTAGAATTTGGCAAATGTGGACCCCTTGCCAGCAGAACCCGATGGTTGTGTTGGGCTCCTCTTGTGAACGACGCCAGGGGCATCTTTAACGTCCACTATGAAGCAGCCTGCGCGTGTTATTGCGGTGATTGTACCACCTAAGAAGTTGAGCAGCACAGACGACGTGAGTCCATGTGGCATGAGGCGTAAAAAGCTTCACGCAACGCGCAGCCTCACGCCGAATACAACCCCAACCAGCCGGGCACCAACAACAACAACACAGTTGTGTTGTGCCGAGACGACTTGTGGCGTGAACCCACTTAAAACAAGTTGGCGGTCGCCTTGATGAAAGCGTGAAAAGCGTGCGCGACCGAAACACGGCAAACGTGTATCACTCAAGACATGTGTATCACTCAAGACACGTGTATCACTCAAGACACGTGTATCACTCAAGACACGTGTATCACTCAAGACACGTGTATCACTCAAGACACGTGTATCACTCAAGACACGTGTATCACTCAAGACACGTGTATCACTCAAGACACGTGTATCACTCAAGACACGTGGATCACTCAAGACACGTGTATCACTCAAGACATGTGGATCACTCAAGACACGTGTATCACTCAAGACACGTGTATCACTCAAGACACGTGTATCACTCAAGATACGTGTATCACTCAAGACACGTGGATCACTCAAGACACGTGGATCACTCAAGACACGTGGATCACTCAAGACATGTGGATCACTCAAGACACGTGTATCACTCAAGACACGTGTATCATTCAAGACACGTGTATCACTCAAGACATGTGTATCACTCAAGACACGTGTATCACTCAAGACATGTGTATCACTCAAGACATGTGTATCACTCAAGACATGTGTATCACTCAAGACGTGTATCACTCAAGACACGTGTATCACTCACGACACGTGTATCACTCAAGACACGTGTATCACTCAAGACACGTGGATCACTCAAGACATGTGGATCACTCAAGACATGTGGATCACTCAAGACACGTGTATCACTCAAGACACGTGTATCACTCAAGACACGTGTATCACTCAAGAGATGTGGATCACTCAAGACACGTGTATCACTCAAGACACGTGTATCACTCAAGACATGTGGATCACTCAAGACATGTGGATCACTCAAGACATGTGGATCACTCAAGACACGTGTATCACTCAAGACACGTGTATCACTCAAGATATGTGTATCACTCAAGACACGTGTATCACTCAAGACACGTGTATCACTCAAGACATGTGGCCATCAAACGCGAGACGCTCTCAGTCACGCATTTGTTGGACGTGAGGGCGAGATCTTAAGTTGCACTTCGTTTCACGGCTCATGACACAATTCGAATTGTTTTCCCCAATCGCTCTATAACTATATTCCGATTGCACTGCTGTGTCTGTCCAGGTTCACGGTGGGCACATCTCACTCACCGCACCGCCGCCGACGCCGCCGCCGTTTCTCCCCGTCCGTCTTTGTCTCCCCGCTCTCCGGGCTCCTCGCACGGCCCCGGGAACGAGGCCCCGCTCAGGGACCGCGTGGATTTGCGCGTTAAAATGAACTCGCATTTGGTGCGGAGACGCACGTGGCGGGTTTGTTGAAGACTTTCATTGTCTGGAAGTGAGGAAGTTGCAACGATAAGGTGCGACGTCGTCACACTGGGTGAGTGAGTCGGTGTGATTGACCGCGGACCCTGGTGCTATGTTGTTACACTGGGTGAATGAGTCGATGTGATTGACCGCGGACCCTGGTGATATGTTGTTACACTGGGTGAGTCGGTGTGATTGACCGCGGACCCTGGTGCTATGTTGTTACACTGGGTGAATGAGTCGGTGTGATTGACCGCGGACCCTGGTGATATGTTTTTACATTGGGTGAGTGAATCGGTGTGATTGACCACGGACCCTGGTGATATGTTGTTACACTGGGTGAGTCGGTGTGATTGACCGCGGACCCTGGTGCTATGTTGTCACACTGGGTGAGTCGGTGTGATTGACCGCGGACCCTGGTGCTATGTTGTTACACTGGGTGAGTCCCCGCCACTGCCGCCATGGAGGACCGCGTGAAGGAGTCGCACCGCGTCGCCTTCGCCTGCCTCACCGCAGCGCTCCACGAGGACGAAAACCCGAGCGGTGATCGCTGCCCCCTCTGCCGCTGCCCCCTCTGTGGCTGCCCCCTCAGTCGCTGCCCCCTCTGCCCCCTCTGCCGCTGCCCTCTCTGCCGCTGCCCCCTCTGCCCCCCTCTGTCGCTGCCCCCTCTGTGGCTGCCCCCTCAGCCGCTGCCCCCTCAGCCGCTGCCCCCTCTGCCGCTGCCCCCTCTGCCGCTGCTCCCTCAGCCGCTGCCCCCTCTCTCCGTGTCATTTCTGCGCTGCGATCAGAGGCCTGGCGGAGCAGCGGCTTGCAGAGCAGCTGAATATTGTGGCTCAAGGTGTGCAGGACGTGGAGCTGAAGAGTTCCTGAGTGAGGAGAGATGGAGCCACTAATTGTGTTTGTCGTCTTGTGTTTGTCGTCTTGCGTGCGAAGTCTGAAACTGCCACGTCAGAGCAGTGTTGTGGAGAATACCTGTACTGTAAGCTCATGGTGTAAAAGCCTTCAGATACGATAAAGATACACGCATGTGTAAACTCTGTTGGAGAAATAACCAACTGGTTTTTCAAAAACCGCGATGAGTTGCCGTGGGTGAGTCACAGCAGCAGGAAAAACAATGCAGTATTTACCGTCAGATGGGTAGGACAAAGCGTGAACCCGAAGTACTTTGAGCACAAGCACAAGTGCACTATCCGGAGCTTGTGTGCCACGTTGCGCAATCAAAATACAGTTCGTGGTAAGATAGAGACCCTTGAAGAATGTCAGGCCTCTTCCATGAATTATGGGACTTGTCTGTGTTGTTTGTACAGGAGACAAAAACGAGGCGATCAAATGGTACAAGAAAGGGATACTGGAATTGGAGAAAGGCATCGGCGTCTCCATCACATGGCAAGGTGATGCATGCGCGAGAATATTTTTTCGTGTCGGAATGTTGTTTTTTTTGCATCATTTCTCAACGTATGGAACGATTGGTGTCTTCTTTTTTTATCTCTCCGTTGCCAGGGGAGAAGGCCGAGCGATCTCGGAGCCTGCAGGAAAAGATGAGAAGAAACCTGGCAATGGCCCGAGAGAGGCTCGGCTTGCTGGGTTGCGGTCAGCGGATATCGCAGCGGTCACCATTCATTTACGTGTCGAGGCGCATTCCGCATCGCACGAGAGTTGTGCCTCGCCCGTCTCCCTCCCCTCGCCCGGTCGAGTTGTGTCCCCCAGCTCTGCCTGCTGCTGTTGCTGCAGCTGCAGCTGGCCACAATAATAATAATATCAGCTGTCAACCCATACGGTTTATGCCCCGTATTCTCGTACAGGGCGATTGAGTTTTCAGGTCCACGCGGCGTATACATCCGTTTCAATACGTGCAACAAAAGACAATGTTTGTCTGTTTGTGTTTCTCCCTTGTGATGGGACTTTTGTAGGATGAACGTTGAGATTTGTCAAAGGGGCACGGGGTGACCTATAAGGTCTGAGTTGGTCAGTAATAAGGTAGGGACACTGATAAGGGGTTGACAGGTATGACAATATGTTCTATTTTTCTCTGATGGGGCAATCTGTATATTCATGAAATGTGCTGTCATTTCAGAAGAGAGTGTTCCGAGATCAAACGCTGGCCACAAAGATGGCCCCGTGCCCAGCACCTCGACTCAGAGTAAACCCCGGCCACAAACCAAGAGCACTTTAGCAGCAAGGCCCTCGTCCCACCGCCCCCTGGTGACCAACAGAGTGAGAATGGCCCGCTGTGTTCATGTTCACAATGACCATTTGTTCACGTGTCCGGGAAAGTTGAACTGCGAACATATTTCTTTTCTGCAGGGTCCTGCTGAAAAATGTATAGCCAGTTTGATTGTAAATGTGTTATGAGTGTGGGGGGAAACCAGAGTTCCTAAAAAAAAACCCCACACATACAAGAGAACACATGCAGTTAACTTCACACGGATAGACCACATACATACCTGCTTGCCACACTACCTCTTACTGGACGCTCAGTGCCTTCCACATTGATGTCTCGTGCATATGATATTTGTGTGATCCACAAATTTGAATAAATATAGTCTTTGGATGTGTCTAGTTGTAAACTTAGACTAATATTAGAATGATTTTCTTTGGGTCTTTCGGTAAAGCCACGTAGATAGAAAACTAATTAAAATAATAAAAAAATCACAACGTTTTGATCGCAACATAAGCAATCGTCATCAGGTGAAACAATATAGCGGGAGAGCTGCTGAGGCAAGAAAACATTAAGTCACAATTAGAATTCTCTATCATGCGGTATGGTTCAGTCTTTCTCCCGAAGGGCTACCTTTTGCAAATGTCCAATTCTCAACCTCCTTTTGATGCTTTCATGCTCCCATTGCTTGCCATGATGACTCTTAACATTAATTTTAGGCATTTTATATAGGTCTCTTGAAAAAATATCTTATATACCAGGAATCAAGCAGTGTTTCATATCAAAAATATAAGTCAACACTAAAACGTCTGTGATTGATTTCATTCAAAGTCTGTTTGCATTATTGACGACCCTGCCGTGGCTGCCCTCCAAGCATCTCTCACATCGTTGTTGCTCTCATCTGTTGTCTGTGTTCTTCTGACGTCTCTCACGTTATTCCACCTATCAACTGGTCCACTCATGTAACAAGCCAATTTATCTCCCTACACTTTCACATCATGTTAGGTGTGAAATGCATCATGCTCTTCTGCCTTTGCGCCTGATTACAACTTGTAATTTTTACCCCTTCGATCTGCGCTGTTTGTGGAGATTGGGTTTGTGTTAGGTCTGGAGCTTCCAATAGGCATCTTTCATTCAAATATATATTTCTGTGCATTTCATTGAATTATAGGAAGCAATGGTAGACAACTTCACGCACTCTCCTCCTTTCTATTCAGGCGACTGTGCCCAGGCAGCAGCCAGCGGCACAGCCCACAGCCCCATCAGTGCTCAAGAAACTGAAGGCTCTCAACGTGGACAACACCATGGCCCAGCTCATCGTCAATGAGATTGTTGACAGGTATGGGATCACATTATACCACTCAACTCATTCGTTATAGTTTCACCTCTTGAGGAAGCCGGATCTAAAAGTAAGCTAGAAAAAACTGCCTAAATGAATAATTATTTTCAAATAAACTTAAAGAAAAACTCTTGACTGGAACACTGTAATGTAACTTTAGTAATTAGTTCATTACATTATGCTGGACATCCCCCACAACCGGAGAGGCTCTCCAACAAATTAGTCCTGCTTTGAGACATTTCACTATATTATCATTATAACTGTCCACCTATGCATAGAAAGGATTAAATACAGGATATGCAAAGAGCATTGAGGGGATTCATAAGTTACATTGTAGGTCTCACATATGTACAAGTACACACATTCTCCTAAATGTACTTCTTTTCTTCAAACAACCTGGCTTCCCAATGTTCCTGATTGAATACGTCTTTTTCAGGAGTCCGCAAGTCAAGTGGGATGATATTGCTGGACAAAAAGTAGCCAAGCAAACCCTGCAAGAAATAGTCATTCTGCCTTCCCTCAGGCCAGAGGTACAGCACATAAACTTATTTTGTTCATTTGTGTCGAACCAATGCATCAAGAGAAGTTGTATCCTGCCACTTTAACTTAAATGGATACAACCTAAACAAACTATTGGGTGCTGTTTTACTTGAGGATTTAAAGCAATGTTGATACACAGCAATATCACCATTGAAAACTGCCCCATGTAAGTAAAATAAGTACGATTTCGCTTCTCAAGTCCCAGCAGCTGGCCAAGTTAAGATGTCAAACTCCCCTGCAAGTGCTGTGCCCCACGTACTTTAACACCGCACGGCTTCGAGCTACTTCACATCGGAATGCCGTGAGTTCCATTCCTGGTTGGGGATCAACTCGGCTCATCATGCCTCCCAGGTCAATACAATAATTATTTTGCGGCTAATTAAGAGGGGGTTATCTAGTTAAGCTACGTTCAACGTTTAATAATTGATTGGAGAATGCATTGGATAATTATCAAAGTGTGGGGTATAAATACTTAGTGGCTGATGAAACAAATACTTGTGGTGATTTATAAGTAAATCATGTGCCACAGCGCCACCTAGCGAGAAGCAACTGGAAAAAAGGGTCTGCAATAAAAGTGTGGTTTTTTTTGTAAAGCTCTTTACAGGTCTGCGCTCACCTGCCCGTGGATTGCTGCTATTTGGCCCTCCAGGAAACGGGAAGACCTTACTGGTATGCCTTGTTGTGTGTGCTAATGATTAGCTTAAGTTAGAATGCCATGACTGTAATATTAAACAGTTTTGTTAATGTAAAGAAAAAACATGCTGGCATTGGGTCCGGTGTTCGACTTGGCAATACAACCTTAGCGCCTCCCTTCTTGGCAAACGCACAGTGCCGCTGTTTCTTTCAGGCTAGGTTAATGTACATTGTTGCAATGGCTCAAAGTAATGTCAAATGTTGGCATCGTAAAAGATGACTAAAAAAACTTTAAGCGTGTGCTCAATTCTTCGCACCATGATCTAAATCAAGAGTGCCACTATTGGTTACTTCGGTCATATATTGAGATTTGTTAATCTTTTTTTTTTAGGCAAAAGCTGTAGCAACTGAGTGCAGTGCAACTTTTTTCAACATCAGCGCTTCCAGCATGATGTCAAAATACGTGAGTACAAGACGAGCAGGTGCAATGTGGTAGTCAGGAGTGGGGGGGGACAGTTTGCATTTGGATAGGAATATATGGGGTGGGGGAGTGTTGTAGGGGGGTGTGGAGATTGTGGGGGGGGTGGAGGAGGGGAGTGAAGGGGGTGGGGTGGATGCAGAGTAGATGGCAGAGTGCCAGAACCAACATGGTTTTTCTGTGATGTTATTGGCTATCCCTACTTATTCTTTGGGTTTTTAGGTAAGGTCACGTAGATAGGTTGAAAGAAAATAACGAAAAAAAACTACGACGTTTTGATCACGACACAAGCGATCATCATCAGGAGGAGAAAAGAGGGGGAAATCTGCTGAGGCAGACTGTTTTAAAGGTTTAAAATGGGTGTAGCCCAAGGGTCATAAAGATAGTGGGCGGGGCTAGTTATGTTAATGTGAGATATTAGCATGTTAATGTAAGACCTGTTCATGTAAAATCAGAGAGCCGAAAATAACAACTCACATCGGAAGGTAGAGTGGAAACATCACAGCCAGTTATGATTTAAACTGGTTAATAATGTCCTTCCAGTTTGTACCCATCTTCTCGGTTGAAATTGTGTCTGTGCCTATCCCTACTTGTCAGAGAAAATAGCCAGAGTTCAAAATGAGAGAAGTGCACTCAGGTAAAGCATATCAAAGTCAGTACCTCAAATCACATGTTTTATGTTATCTTTGTCTAACTCTTAGTAAGTAAGAATGTGGTATTTGGTATTCATAATCTTGTTCTCTGGGCTTTATAAACAGCATTTCAGATCGGATCAGGGTTGTCAATTTTAAAAGATGATATTTCTAATTTCGCTGTCCAAAATTAAAGTGGGCAACACAATTGTGTCCCATCACAATAGTGCTCAAGAATTAGTGCCTCACTACTGAGTGGAGCTTCAGATGTGTGATGAACAGAACAGCCTGAGCCCCTTGTATATACGTGTTTATACAACTTCAAAAATTAACATCATTTCCAATACACATTGATGTTTGAGTAGAGTTGGTAAATCCTTCTGGTGTGCTTTGACTAAAGGATGTAATTGTTATGTTATTGTTAAAAGGTATGACCGTGTTTGTGGTGCAGGTTGGAGAGGGGGAGAAGCTGATGCGTGCCCTGTTCGCTGTGGCAAGAGAGATGCAGCCATCCATTATTTTCATAGGTACTCACTCAGCCCCTTAAGTTAATGTTGTTAATTGTCTTGAGCCACTTGTACTTGTAGATAATTGAATTCAATACAGCTGGCAAGGTCAAGAGGTGATCGCAGCCAATAACATTGATGCTTCCTTCTCAAGATTCAGTAGTTGTGGATTCTGGTCTCCAAGATCTACTTATACACTCTGCCACCATTAGACTCAAGGTCACTGACTTTGGTTTCTGACCTCTGGCTGCCACTGGAAAGCCTAGCTCAGTAATCTGCCTTCATCCTGCCCACCTGCCCAACCGATGACAACCTCCTGTTCCTAAAAGTAGAGTTTTTTTGACAATTTTTTACAAAACTCACATTTATTATTGCGATCCTATGTCAAACTCAGCATCAATCTGGAGATAAGCAGGAGTTATCTTATCCTTGTAACCACTTTGTTCGCTTATAATGCACCCAGGATAAACAGAGCTGCATACCTCTGCTTGTGTTCTGGGTAATGGTATACAACCTGTTCAACAAGCCACCATCCTCTCCATTGGATTGTGAACCTAAACACTGCAATGGTTGTGTGCACACTGGCTTTTGACGCTCAATTAAAAAAAAATCCACTTATATAAATCTAGGACACAAGTAGGGTATGGTGGCTTTGCCACAGTGCCTTGCAGTCTGAGTTATACCATAGCAAACATAATTTGCTTTGAAAGTTCTATGTTCTTATCATGATCGAGATGTCGACTAAGACAAAGTGAACATAGCCTTTCATTGAACAGGGCTGAGCAGCACACAAGTGTGATTGATTTATCTTTTGCAGATGAGATTGACAGTTTGCTGTGTGAAAGGAAGGAGGGCGAGCACGACACGAGCCGGCGAATGAAGACAGAATTTCTCATGCAGTTCGATGGAGTACGTTTACTCCACTGCACTGTAATGCACTGGGCTGTTTATTTAATTATGGGATGCACAATGAGGCCTCAGTAAGTGCTGCGATCCTCTTTACTGACCGATTATCTGGGACTTGCAAGCACTGTGAAGCAAACATTAATGAGAACGCTATTTGTACATATTCAAGCCAAAGCCTATACATTCTAAAACGAGCCTTTGGCAGTGCTCATTCATAGGCAGCCCTCAGTCATTCATGAAAATTCCACTCCTCTGGCAAGTACCACTCTCCACATATATAATCCTACTTCTGACTTTCTGTCAATTGGTAATAATTTTATTTACCCCGAAGGAATAATGGGCCATATTTACCCTGGACCAGCACATGGTGCAGTAGAAAAGAACCGGTTGAATGTGGATGTTAATTTGTGAATGTCGTACATGCAGGTTAAAAGCGAAGCAGAGGACAGAGTGCTGGTAATGGGAGCAACAAACAGGCCCCAAGAACTGGACGAAGCCGTTCTCCGGTGAACACATTTTAGTGTAAAATTCATCTTTGTTTTGTGTCTCACTTCCATTGGTACTGGGTATACCAAAATGTAATGTGTATTAAATGTGTGTTATAGAACTGAGCACACGTGGAAGAATATTGTTCCTGAAAAGATATTGTTCTCATTTAAAAATCAGTGCTGATAATTCAACTGTAATTACCCAAACCGTCTTTTATGCCGGTAACTTCGATCGCTGTCGTAATTTTGCTCAATACTCTTTCGAGGTTGCACACCAGAAATAACAGCTTGTGTCAATGAATATTCAAATATTGTTAGCCGTCGGCATGAAAGCAAATGGCACTGGTGTGTGTTTTCCAGACGATTTCCGAAGAGAATATATGTCGACATGCCCGACGAAGCAGTAAGTCTTGCCATATACAGTAGGAGTTTAAAAACACAGTGACGCTCATTTCCCTTGGCAGCCAGAGGTCATTGTTGGATCTTTAACACACTCATGGTCAAGGCCACCACTTCCTCAATTGGATGATTGCTCTTGATTTAATCGACCTTTGAGATGATAGTGTCAAACTCTGACCAGGATTTTAACCCCAAATCCTCTTGATTGTCCATAAGGGGTTTGTTGGATTAGATCACGTATAAATATTTAAATGTGTCGTTAAAACCTGTGTAAATGTCAGGTTATTTGCATCCATTTTTTTTTCACCACTCTTAACACACTTCTGCATCAGACACATATCGCCAAGCTGTACAGCTAATCTCTTGTCAATTTCAGCTGGTTTGACATTTTATTTCACCAGAAACTTGAGTCTGCAAGGATGCGCCACAGGACATGACACACTGTTAGCTTCCAAATTGAAAATACCCAGACTGTTTTGCACAGCTGCGATGCCAATAACTTTAATCTAAATTGTATTATGGTTATTATTGTTTGACTTGCATCCTGCCAGGATTTTTGCACACAGTGTTGATATACAGTGTTTTTTTCTGGAAGATTTTGCTGTTTTTTCCTGGATTTTTCTGTTTGCGCGTAGTCACTTTAAGATGTTCCTTGTTCATGTTTTTGTTTGTTGCGGTTGCACCTGAGTCAAGAGCCGCATGGCTCACAGGGTTATACCTAATAAATGAAATAAATGAAAATGAAACAATATCTATGCACAAATTTTCAGCTGATCTTTCATTCGTTTACAACTATCTCAACCAGGTTAACCTTGACACCTTCAAAATGTATATGAAGAGAAGTTTAACAACTGAACGAAGGAAATCACAAACGTAACGCGTTTTATTGACATGGAGGTTAAAGCACAGCCATGAACTAAGCTAAGCCAGAAGGGACCGTGGAAATTGGAGCCTGAGTTCCTATAAAAGATACTCTGTTTTATTTTACAGGCGAGAAAACAGATTCTTAACCACCTTTTATCCAAGCATGGCAGTCCACTGTCAGAAAAAGAACTTGCGGTACTTGCCAGGTAAGATTATATCCTAAGGTTTTCTGCATTTCCTCCTATTCTCTTGTTATTTAACTTATCCGAACCCATTCCTTCATGATAATGTCGACTGTGTTGTAATGTTGTACCCTTGCCAGGCCTTTCCACCTCCTTTACTGCCTTTGTTCCAAGATGCCACAAATGGCAGGGAATTCTTGTTTTCTTGGTGTAACATCTGGAATATGAATTGTATGGCTGATGTCTATGTAATACGTTTCAATGCCAGTTCTGGGTAATGCCTGCCAGCTGATATGAATGATGAGTCATTCTTTGTGATATACTACTTAAAAGCATCAACACAAATGCAACTCCATCTGTAGCTCCCACCAAGTACATAAAGAGGAGCAACACTTAATAAAACATCCAAAATCTACTGTAACTGATATCGATATGGGCCATAGCTGCTTGAGCTCTTCGATTATATTATAGATGTATTAATTGTTTTTAAACATAAATTCTTAAAAGCATTTCAAATAAAAAGATTTAAACGTACAATTGCTGTGTTTTTCGAACATCTCGTATGGTTACCCGATGGTGCTGAACAGGAGATTCCATTGTTTTAAGTTGCATATCAAAACGTATAATTTTGACTCAATGCTATGCTCGAGGAAAAGAGAGAAACGTGTGACTTGTGCGATAACAAGATCAAAGTCATGCGAAGTAGAGAAACGTCGGGGCAGGTTAGAACAATGGCAGGTTACGTGCTATCCCCCAAATCATATAACCATTCGATCACGTGGCCAAAAACAACAGTCGCTCTCAGTCTGCTTGCAGACAATCACAAGAGAGCCTGCATACATGGATCTGTGCCTGAAACCGTATAAGGTACAAATGTAAGCATGCCCTTTTGTATGTAGCACATAGCTTAGCTGGGTAGAGCAGTTGAGATTCAACAATTTGCGGGGTTTAGAAGAAACCTCAGCATGGCCATGTAATACATATACTATTTATTGATTGTAATACTACCACTGTCCAAATTCATAGACAATATTATGACCAGATTCGAATCAAAAAGGCTTTGACTCTCTTCTGCTCACCGGACTGATAGTTCTACTATTGCTGCCACTTTGCATGACAGGCCTAGGCCCTGTGCTTAACGGCTGTCGATTGTGGTGAAGCTGTGTCCTTGTAATGTGATTGTGGCCATTAACTGTAATTGAAACTCAATCATGACTAAACTTTTTAATTGTATGTTCAGTTCAGGGACCATAAATACTGGCGATGTTTAAAATAGTTTCCATCCTTAATGATATTTTGTATCACTATTTCAGGACAACCACTGGTTACTCGGCAAGTGATCTGACTGCACTGGCAAAAGATGCTGCACTCGGGCCTATCAGAGGTGAGTGTAACTTCACCTGTGTGACCAAGCAGTCACTCATCACTCAGTGTTATAACACAACCTGAATAAGCCATCACTCATAGCGTTGTTTGTTTTTGCAGTTTTATTTCTGATCTTTTTTTTTTGCTATTACATTGTCCTTTTTCTACGCTGATGTATTTTGGAATGTGCATGTTCACATTCCTGGTCTCCCTTACAAAAGAGGTATATTATTTCGGTGGTCTGTCACCTGTTTATAATTAATGTACAAGTACATGTATACAGTATGTGTGGGTTCTACTTGCTCCGCGAAGGAAAAGCAAAGTAACTTTGAATTTAAATCGTGATTGCGAATTTAATTAGTTGAATTTTGAAGGTTAATCATTACAATTGTAATACTTTGAAGTGGGAATGTGCAATTTACATTTTAATGTGCAAGGTTTGCTTTATATTGCAAACATGCAACAGACATTATACAATACATTTTGTAAATGGGAATAGGACATGCATATGCCACTGAGAATTGCAGGATAATAAAGTCAAGTTGTCCACATGCTCAGTTGGGTAGTGCTCATCTGGGTTGGTGATCCAGAGCCAGCAGCAGAAATTCCACAGTCCTATTCCAGGGACATGCTGTCCGTAGAGCAGCCACTGTTAACTCCCCACAACTTGTTCATTATTTTAATGGTCATGGGGGGGGGGTTGTTTTACTATACTTCACCACGCTGTTCAGTGTGGGTTGGTGAAAGGAGGGGAACTCACCACTGATGCTAGCCGTGGCCGGAAATCGAACTCCGATCGTCGGATTTACAGCGCAGTGTGCTAACCACTGCGCCACTGTTCCCTCCCCCCCCCTGCAGTTATGTTATGAACTGTATGTGGCTACTTTATAGGCAGCACAGGGCAGTGCAGCAGAATCCTTTGTTGCACTGCACTGTGCTGCCATGTCTATGGTCCCCATCTTTACTAACTCGCATTGACCAGCGTGGTAAGGTGTACTCAAATAACCCTTCTGTCCCACACAGCGTGGAGAGGCCCTCATCCAGTAGTGAGTGGCTTGACAAAAGGGTTGTACCAGTACATGATGATAATGGGATGACCCCCCCCACCAACTCGGATTTCAGCTCAGCCTCAAACTATAGCAGGTGTTCTGACACCAAGCCAGATATTGTGCATGACATCTGGCTATTTAAATGTTTGTAAATACCTAAGAATTATCATTGTTGCTTTAAATTCAACTGTGGATGCATATTTATTTTCTCTTTAGAACTCAGCATGGAAGAGGTTAAAAACTTGGCTCCAGATGATGTACGTATCTTGTTGATTTATTATTTTACTGAAAGCTTTGCTGCATTTCATGATTTGTTTTCAAGAGGATCTTTACTTGGAATGTTTGGCCAATGACTTCCTTTGTATGTGGTAGGTTAGACACCAGTGTGAAAAGTAACTCCACAAATATACATGAATATAACCTCAAATTCTTCAAACAGAGGTTTGCAACCTGCTTGCTGTACTACCTCCTACAGGGGTCTTATTGAATTGATGCGTTACAGCCATGTTTTCCCACGTTTGTAAAAAAGCAAATCAAACGGAATTTTGGTTTCTAAATAAAAAAACGTTTTACTGCAAATATTTCCATGAAACTGGAGGCAGACTACCATTGTAAGGATGTCTATACACTTCGTAATTTGTACATCAGTGTGACATCAATATTTTAAAGTAAGTTTATAAGAATGTTCTCACCACCTTTAAAAGTTGCAGTTCAAAATGGTTTGACAAGACTTTGGTAACGCTGAACTTTTGCGTACGTGTTCCAAGTGAAAACGGCAAGGCTTCACTTTGCTGGTTGATTCACTGTAACTCTCTAAAGGTCATGCTTGGCATAAATTCCACTGCTCCCAAGACACGTGTTGACCTCTACTCTCAGCTAGGGATCACAGAGACGACGCTAGCTCCGACTTCACGTATCTACACCGTCTCTTCGGGATTCTCGGACACATGAACACATTTGCTCAGTCCACCTCATTCACGCAGCTGGCAAATTATAATACTTTCATTTCATAAAGCGTCATTCATGCCAACAGCATCCCACAACTCTGTACATTCATTATATATGAGGACCAAATCCCATATACAGCTACTACCAAGCAAATTCACAAATGAATAAACAAATACAAAAATGGCACCAAAACAAAAAGCACAAACAACAAAAAAGTTATCACAAAAAAGAAATATTGTAGGCAGAAGCTCTCGTCAACATTTCAATTTTTACAACCCTTAAAATAGTTTCAAATCACGTGACTGTACAATTACAAAATGTTAGATTTTGTCGAAATTATATCTGTAAAGTTTGTGTGACGTGTTGTAATTTTCTTGTTCCCATGAACTTGACCAATGTTTTATGACTAAGCCTGTTTCCATTGTATTTTCTTTTACCAAAGTTGACTTGACATTGTTTGTTTTATCAAATGATCCACAAGGTTTATTTTAACAAAAAAACTGCCCTCTGTTTGTTTTAGGTCAGAGGAATCCGCGTGTCGGACTTTAAAGAATCTTTGAAGAAAATCAAAGCAAGTGTGAATCCCCAGAACCTCCTTATATACTTGAACTGGAACAAGGAGTTTGGTGACACAGCCTAGGCTGTGTTTATACTGAAAAAAAGCTGGACATGCTTACACATCGAGCATGCATACTTTACAATGATGTACATAACATCTTACTGCTTTGTAAAATAAATAATTAGCAACTGCAATGACAGTGGTGAATGAGCAAAAAGCAAGAAATAATAACATAACAGACACGTATATTGTAGACTCACCTTGCAACCAATGGCCATTCATAGCAGAGGAAAATGTATAAACATATATATTGAAGGACGACACTTCATAATGTATTTGCCTTGAAAACACCGGGATGTCTCTGATGAAAACATGCAATGTGGATACAGATGTCATTGAAAGTACTTATTGATGGGTGTTTGTTTGATGTTTGTTTTAAATAAATAAATTATAACGTTTGGGATCAAGCCTAGATATCAAATGTAGCTGCCTTTTTTCTCATGAAGGGCCATTTGGCTGAGACACAATTTAAAATCCCATGTCCGTCAACTGCTAGACGAATGCTCATGGGGGTTGTTTGGCCATACTTTTTCATGCTGGTCAATGTAAGTTGGTAAAGGGTGGCCCAGGTTTAGTTATCACGGAACCACTGATGTTATCCATGGCAGGGAATCAATCGCAGGTCGCCGGGTTCATAGCGCAGTGCGCTTAACCACTCATCGTGGCTCATTACCTGAACCGATATCCTGAGATGTATTTTATAGGTCTGTTAATTTCAAAGATATGTTTTTCTATAAAATAAATGATTGTCACAGTTGTTACCTTGCTGTTTTATAACGTGTAGGTGTTTTTATTTTTAACCGTGTGTTGGAGGAGTGGTATCGGGTACATTTGCAATGCAAGCTCCAAGTTTACACCAAAAAGACAGTCTACAAATATACAAAAAAGGAACAATAGTGTGGTTCTGTGTGCCGTTTGGTAGTCTGAAGTTATTCCAGCTTAACATGAGACACTGCAGCCCCCTGCCTGGAAAGGAAAAGGGTGACCGGTAGAGCTGCAACTACTGTGGTGTCACTGCTCTTGGTGCCTGCAATGGTTCTTGCACATGCGCTGCTGGCTCGGGTCCCTCATCATCTGCTGTCGACGCAATGGCCAAAACAGTCTGGCTGCACACCCAAACATTCCAAGGTTGACCAAATCACTGTGTCCTTGTTGATCACCAACAGGAGTTCAAGAGAGAATAATGTCCAAAAAAGATCATAGGGCCACCACCAAATGACAACTTGACAGAATAGTGCAGCCAGATTGACCGCAGCACAACCATTTTTTCGCACGTGCAGCTTCATTAGCGTGTAAGCTGTTCTAGTCCGTGTGCTTTTGGTTACTGTATTTATTTTACAATACACTTTGGTTCTATTCGGTAAATTCACGTAGGTAAAAATAAATAAAACAAAAATCACGACGTTTAGACCACAACACAAGCGGCCTTCATCAGTTGAAGGGACCAGACTGTCTCGAGGACAGCGCTGGAGTGAAACACAGCCACGCTCAGACCGCGACCTTTAAGCTGTGTGCGAGGAAACAAGGTGCCTTGACAAAGGAATTAGCATAAAACTTAGCATTTGATTAGCCGACTTAGCATGATGAACGGTGTAGAGGTGGTGTACATGTGGGTGAACATGCCGGTTGGCGAGGGGGGGAGGGGGAGTTTACATATTGATGGTGTGAAAAGGGAATTTTTAAGAGCTGCGAAAGTTTGGGGTACCACTACTTGAAAAAAGATACTGTACCATTGAAAATTAGTTTAATGCTTGGTTCGATTTAGAACACCTTGACGACGACTGGCAAACCCGTTCAGGGGTCCGCCTTATATACAGCTCCCAGGGTCACTCCGCCCCTGGCCACGCCTACTCTCTGGAACCTTCTGGAGGGACCTGGACTATTGTGTAATCCCCCAGCCCCCACTGGGGGCCTGGGGTGTGTGCCTCCGGTTCCCAACCACTCTCTGGGTTCCCTGGCCTAACGGCGTTACTCACTCTTTGGTGTGGACCAATCAGTGTTGGTGTCCTCTGGTCGAACGCCGTTTTAAAACTAGCCTCAAAAGAAAACTGTCTCTGGTGTGGACCAATCAGTTTCAAAGACAATGCATATATTATCGGAGTGTTTTTTGTTTGCATTCTGACCACAAGCATTGTGGTTGATGCAGACATGATTCCTTGTAAAAGGTTTCAGTTTGGTGTTTTAACATCTTAACATCTGTTTGTTGACTGAAAAAAGGGGAAAACCTATTCTCATATTACCTTATCATTCATTCTGTGATCCAACTCATGATGACGTCAAAAAGTCATGAGATGGGTAAAGGATATATCTATATAAGTGAAGGCGGTGGTTTTGTAGTGTGAAGTATGACTAATTCACACGTGGGGAGGGCAAGTGCAGCGAGTGCAATGCCGTGAGGACTCCGGAAGGCCTCTTGTGGGTGGCCGACCTCGACATTGGCCTTTAGCTCCTAAACATTGCTGCCATTCACAAGAATAGAATAGTGCACAACCTGTGCTTTATACATGCCTGGTTGTTCAGCCCGCCTTAGAGTTAACCCTCATGCGAAGCTGTATAAAGGGCATGGCAACATTTTGCCCATAAATGCTGGGGAGTGGTTTATGCGCCTGCTTATATTGTTGCACATTATCCGCTGTGTAGCCGGCTGCCGATCCGCAGATAACGCAGACGGATAACAAGATTTTGTTTGCTGTTTTTAGGAGTTATCAAATCCTATTTTCTGTGCTTATGTCGTGGGTGTTGATAGCGTTATACACGTTCACCGCTACTTACCTGGTGTAGCGCCAGCCATGGGTCAACAGGGGGCGACAGCGAGTACGGCCTGTATTAAGTAACTTCAGCAATTGTTTCTTGCTGTGGTTGTCCCACCTGATGACGGACGCTTGTGTTGCGCCCGAAACGTCGTGATTTAATTTATTTGATTTTAAACCTACGTGACTTTACCGAAAGAACCAAAGAGTGAGTAACGCCGTTAGGCCAGGGAACCCAGAGGGCGGTTGGGAACCGGAGGTACGCACCCCAGGCCCCCAGTGGGGGCTGGGGGATTACGCAATAGTCCAGGCCCCTCCAGAAGCTTCCAGAGAGTAGGCGTGGCCAGGGGCGGAGTGACCATGGGAGCTGTATATAAGGCGGACCCCTGAACGGGTTTGCCAGTCGTCAAGTTGAAGACCCGAAGAGCCAGCCTAGCATAGGACCCTGGGAACCCCCGGACCCGCCGTCCTTCTAAGGGCCGGGACCGAGTGGGCCAGTGGCCGGGACCCGAGGACCTTGCCTGGGTCGGGTCAGCTAGCCTCCCCTAGGTCCCTCTAGCCGGAAGGCTGATATATATAGAGGAAGTGATCCCAATGAGTAGGACACGCTGGCCGGAGGCTTTACCTCCATCGGGTGGAGGGGCCGGTACCCCTTTGTGCTAGGGACCTCGTGTTATAGTTATTGTTATAAATAAACTTGTTGCCACCAGTGAAGACTGGGTCTCCATTCATTACCACTACACTTATAAAACATAGGCCATGGGTTAGTAGATTTTAGTGAATTGTATTGGTTCTTTCGGTAAAGTCACGTAGGTATAAAATAAATCACGACGTTTCGGGCGCAACACAAGCGTCCATTATCAGGTGGGAAAGCATGGTCTGCTGCTCAGACAGACTGTTTATAAAAAGGTGTATTATTAATACTCTGTTTATTCATGAGACCTCCCCACTTCATCGGGATAAAAGAGGAATTCCACTGTAAACTGACAAACATTGAAAGCTGTGAATAAGTGTAATTGTTTTGCAGGAGGGTTTTCATGTTAATCGTGAAGCAGGTGCCGTTATTGAAGGTTTGCACGTATCATAATTTACTATGTTGTAGTTCTGCAGTGAACAACAATTCACCCATTGCATTTGATTGTTTTTGAACTCTGTTGTATGGCCAGGTAAAATTATCAATGTTATATAGTATGGATATTGAGGTTATTAAGCCATTCAATGCATTTACTCACCTCCAAACTACCACCATTCATCACATTTATGTACAAGTGCAGTTTTCAACTCCGTTAATACTGGTAGGAACGAAGTTGTAAACTGAGTGTACCAGCCTGCAATAGATTAATGTGTCCGTCCGTCCGTCCCCTTTCAATACTTTAACGAAGTGAAATCTCGTGCTGTTGGGTGTAAAATCAGCAATAGCCAGCGCAGAGACTTGATATGTCTTATTGCACCCAACATTTGGAAGTCACATGATCTCATTTGCGAACTTCGCTTTTGGGGATGTGGCAAATTCACACACAGCCCACAGCCGAATACCATTTGCGAGGCGAAGTTCAAAGGCACCGTGACGTTACTTTGCCAATGTTCCTACCAGCCCACCCTGCAGGGACCTGTTTATAGCAGATTAGAGGCCAATGAAAACAATGAATATGAGTCCAGAATGGATATGGGGAAACAATTCGTACTGTAATTATAATGAGAGACTGCATTATTCTAAGTTACAGTATAAATAATCTGCAAACGGCCTTTTCGCCTATTAAGTGAAAATACTTCAAAGAATGCATCTCTGATAGCCTGTTTTAATGGAGATGAGGAATCGATTGCAATCGGTCATATAAAACGTTGCTTGACGCAGGTAGCAGGAGTACTATGTGACAAGTTTAAATCCCGCTAAAATGCCGCACCGCATTCCTTTGAGCTGCTTTGTGTTTTATTGCGTCTGGTCATGGTCAAGGTGAACATGTGGATTAGTGGAGGTTGCTAAATGCAGTCCTTTGCACTGCACGAAATCTGTAGCTGAGCACTAAGTACTGTATAACCTGAAGGCGTCTTGCATGTCCTCAAGATCATGGGGATGTCTCACGGTGTTTGGTAACGAATGGCCGGGGGGGGGGGGGTGAGTTTTGTCCGGTGAATCTATCATCATTCGCATCTGATGTTAGCCGTGGATGGAAATCAAACTCAGGTGGCCGGGTTTGTAGCGCAGTACACCACACTCTACGCCTCCACCACCTAAGCATTCAATTAACGCTTCCATGTTATCTGCCTCGTAGTGACTTTGAAAATGGAACGCAATCTCTGATGATCTCATTCCGATCACATCAGCCCGCGTGGACAGTTTATTTTTTAAACCCACCCAATTTGCTGAGCGCAGACCCAAGTCGACAAACGGATGGTAACAAACAGCACGATGAGTGCTGTAAGTGCAGTGTTGTAACAGTTCGCACGACGCCGTTTGAAGTGGCAGATGCCATCGGCAAAGTTGCGAACATCTCAAACCAAACGCCGCAGCGTCGACGGGACGCGTTGTAAGGGGGCGCTATCGCACAGATTAAAATCTCGAATGATCCCACAGATTATTCATCCCACGAGACGCCGCCCATCAGCTCACGCGTGTGAAATTTGGCGCTTTTTCATTTCGTATGAGTTGCATCATTGGGTGCCAACAATCAAACACGCATGGAATTGTGGCCATGAATCGCGACAATCCTAACCCCTCTTCACAGTTACACGATTCGACAATCTGTATTACTTCTGGACACGAGCCCATCTCGTCACTCCATCTCGTTGGGGGACGTCCTCTTGTGCCCTAATCTCTCCACTGGCTGCCCACTCCATGGTTAGTCTCGACCACCGGCCGTCATACCTTCTATCCCGCACCTCCGATTAGCACGTCTGGCTACATACGGTGCGAGATAATGTCTACATAGTGACTCGTCCTGTCCGATATCACTCTTTTTTTAATAGCCAATTCTGTATGTATTTGTGTTTGCTCTCAGCTGCACGTATTTCTCT